TGCTGCACCTGCATGGCCAGGTACCGCTCCTTCTGGGCCACCTGCTCCAGCCGGTCCTGCTTCAGCTGCTGCTCCAGCTCGGCCTTCTTCCGCGCCTTCTCCAGCTCCCGCCGCCGCCATTCCCGGTCTGCGACCTCTTGGTTCCTCTTGGCTCTCAGAGCATCCTGCCCAAATAGGGGACAGTGCTGAGCTTCCCTCAGGGCACCTTTGGAAGCCCTTGGCCGTGGCTTTGGCTCTGCTCCAGGACATATCCTGGTTCCAGGGCTGGTCCTACACATCCCCCACATCCAGGGGTGCTGCCCCTTCACCAGTCTGGGGACAGGGACGGTGGCAGGGGAGCACATCACCTGTTCCTGGGCCACTCACCTGCTCTGCCTGCCAGGCCTGGGCCCGCTCCTGTGTGGCCCTGAGCCGGGCCAGCTCCTTCTCCTTCTCCAGGCGCAGTTGGTGCTGCTCTGCCTCCAAGGCGGCCTCATGCTCCTATGGGGGACAGAGCCCCAGGGATGGGACAGAGCCCTGGGGTTGGACAGAGCCCCATGGTGTGGGACAGAGCCCCGGGATAGGACACAGCCCCAGGATAAGACAGAGTCTCAGGGGTGGGACAAAGCCCTAGGGTGGGACAGAGCCCCATCGTGTGGGACAGAGCCCTGGGGTGGGACAGAGCTCCAGGATGGGACAGAGCCCCAGGATAGGACAGAGCCCCAGGGTGGGACAGAGCCCAAGGGTGGGACAGAGCCCGAGGGTGGGACAGAGCCCCATGGTGTGGGACAGAGCCCTATGGTGTGGGACAGAACTCCAAGAGGGGACAGAGCCCCAGGATGCGACAGAGCCCCCTGGTGTGGGACAGAGCTCCAGGATGGGACAGAGCCCCAGGATGGAACAGAGCCTGGGATGGGACAGAGCCCCAGGACAGCTCCTGCAGCCCCTGCCCACCCCACCAGGAGCCCACTGCTCTTACAGCCTTCTGCCGCTGCTGCTCCAGCACCCGCTCGTCCTCCAGCCTCTCCTGCTCCCGCTGTTGATCCTTCAGCCTCTGGCTCTCCATGTTGAAACGTTTAATATCAGCATGGATTTGCTTTAGTCGCTCCTGTTTCTGCTCCCAGGCCTNGTGGAGCCCCCCTGGAGGCCGGCGGTGCTGTGGGACCGGGTGACACTGACCTGCCAGGGCTCGGGGACCGCTGGTGCCACCACCTGGTACAAGGATGGACGGCGCTGGGGGCAGCAGAGACAGGACCGCCTCACTGTCACCGAGAGTGGCACGTACAAGTGTGACAGACCCGGCAGCGGGCATAGCCCTGTTGTGAGAGTCTTAGATGGTGAGGGGGCTACAGGTGTCCCCAGGCTGCCACCTCCAGGGACCCCAAGGGCTCTGGGTTGGTTCTGTCCTATGGGTCACCTCCTGTGTGGCCAGAGCCTGTCCCCTGCTCTGGGGACATCCCAGAGCATCCCACTGTGGGGGAACCCTTTGTTGGAATTGGGGACCCCAGTGTACCACATGGGGGGGTCCCGGTGCCATCAGGTACGACAGGACCCTTCTGTCCCCTAGACGGGCTTGTGCTACAAGCGCCAGCACGGACGCTGCTGGAGGGGGACATGGTGACACTGCGCTGCCAGAGCTGGCGGAACAACATGGTCACCTCAGTGTCATTTTACCATGAGGGGAAGAAACTGGAGGGGCTCTGTGATGGCACCGAGCTGTCCCTGTCCCCTCTGCAGCAGCACCACAGAGGCAACTACCACTGTGAGCGCCGGGTGAGCAAAGGGGTGTCAAAGTGGAGCGTGTCGAAGACGGTGACAGTGACAGTACACAGTGAGTGCTACGATGGGGACAGGGAAGCCCGACATCCTCCAAGGATTTCCTATCCCTGCCTGAATCCTTCATGCCTCTCTTTACTCCTCCCTGGGTCATACAAAATTTCCCAAGTCCCTCTTGGTTTCCCCCATGACTGCCCAGTTCCCCCTCTTGATCCCTCATCCCTCTCTTTGTCCTCCCCATCCCTCCCTGGATTCCCCACCCTTTCCAAGGTCCCTACTCCACCTTCTGGTCTCCCTTCCTTCCATGGGTCCTCCAGCCTATCTATAAACCCCAAATCATTCCCTGAGTCTCATCAGCCTCTCCCCCTTTCCCCATCCCTGCCTGGGTCTCTGCACCTTTCCATGGGGTCTCACCATTGTCCCTAGGTCCCAACCTGCCTCCCAGGGTCCCCTTCTACTCACTGGGATCCTCTCTGCTTCCCTCCAATCCCTTCCTTTCCCTCCCATGTCTCCCACCTTCCTGGGTCCTCAATCCCTTCTGTGTCCATCCACAGGGATCCCACTCTCAGGCGTGTCCCTGTCAGTGCAGCCACCCGGGGGACAGGTGACACTGGGGGACAGCCTGGTGCTGAGCTGTGAGGTGGCCATAGGGACATGTCCCCTGTCCTTCTCCTGGCACCGGGAGGGCTCAGGGGCAGTGCTGGGCACTGGCCCCCACCTGGAGCTGCACCACGCTTGGGACAATGACAGCGGTCATTACCAGTGCTGGGTCAGCGACGGGGACAGCGTGGCCAAGAGTGACCCCCTGAATGTCACCGTCCTGGGTGAGTGGGACACTCGGTCTGGGGATGACCCCACCCACGGCACCCCCATCCCACCTGCCAAGTGACAGCCCTGTCTATGTCCCCACAGTGCCCGTGGCCAATGCCACCATCACCCCTGGTCCCCTGGCACACCAGGTGCGTGCAGGTGACAACGTGACCCTGCGCTGCTCAGTGCAGGTGGGCTCAGCCCCTGTCACCTTCACCTGGCTGCACAANCACCGGCCCGCACCTGGAGCAGTGCTACACTGGGGACAATGACAGCAGCCAGTACCAGTGTGGGGTCAGCGACGGGGACAGTGTGGCCGAGAGTGACCCCCTGAATGTCACTGTCCTGGGAGACCAGGACCCTTGGGCTGAGGATGACCCCTCCCACAGTATCCCCATCTCCATCCTACCTTGCCCAGTGCCAGCCCTGTCTCTGTCTCCACAGTGCCCGTGGCCAATGCCACCATCAACCCTGGTCCCCTGTCACACCAGGTGCATGCAGGTGACAACGTGACTCTGTGCTGCTCGGGGCAGGTGGGCTCAGCCCCTGTCACCTTCACCTGGCTGCACAACGGGCAGGAGGTCGCCTGGGGTCCCCTCCTGGAGCTCAGGGACATCAATGTGGAACATTCAGGCACCTACCAGTGCTTGGCCATCAACCAGCTGGGACAGGACGGGCACCACGTGTTCCGGGCACTCAGCCCTGAGCTGGCCCTGGAGGTGACACCTGGCTCACCCTGGGTCACAGGTGGGCTCAGACAGGGTTGCTGGGTTGTTCAGGGCCCCTGTAGTTCAGGGTAACTCCAATGTGTCCCCTCTGTCCCCAGCAGTTGCTGTGAATGTCGGCAGGACCCTCCTGTTCCTGCTCCTGCTCCTGGCTGTCATCGGGGGCTGTCACTGGTGGCACCACCGGGGTGGGTGACAATGGGGGGGATGGGGGTCCTCAAGTGAGGGGGAGCCCCCAGAGTGCGGGCAGAGATCAGCAGCATGCAGGGCCCCTGAGCTTGGGGACACTGAGCCTGCAGTGACCTCGGCTGGGGATCCTGGGGGATTTGGGGGATATTTGGAGAGTCTTGGTTGGGCTCCAGGGCCTTCCCCGGCTGGGCTTTGAGGAATGTTGGGGTGCATTAGGAGCTCCTGGAGGGTTTGGGGAGGTCCGGGAGGGCTATGCAGGGATGTTGGAGGATCTTTTTGGGTCCTGGTGGTGTTTTGGGGGTCCCCCTCTCTGCCAGACTTGGGGTTCTGAGGACAAAGAGGGTTGGGGGCGACAGAGGGATTGGGGGAAGTGCAGTGATGCAGAAGTTATGGGAGATTCATAGGTGATGAGAGTGTTCAGGGGGAATCAGGGGTCCACTGGGAATTGGGGCTGCAGTGGGGATTTGGGGCTCCCGTGCATGGTTGGAGCTGCCGAGGTCCCAGGAAGGTTCAGCGATCCTGGGCTCCCCCTGGTCACCTCCTCCCCTTTCCCTTGCAGCCACCAGGAAGCTCCAGGACAGGTGAGTGGGGGGCTCGGGCTGGGACTCCCCTTTACCCATCCCCCTTAGACCCCCCCCCCGGAGGAGGGGGCTGTGAACTGAGTGGGCACAGGGTGAGTACAAGGGGGGACAGGGACACATCACCTACGAGTGTCACCCCCACCCAGGTCCACACAACCGGTATCACTCTCAGGGGCTCCACGGGTGTCCCCCAGCCCTGCCCCACCTCGGAATCCACAAGTGACCAACACAGAGCTGTCGGGACATCACAAGGGACAGCGGGACCCCCGTGACTACGATGATGTGCTGTGACACTGGGGGCACTGGGGGCATCGATTCCCCTCAGGGATCTCTTCTTCCTCTTCACAGCACCCCACAGGGCCCCTCATTTACCCTTCCAGTGCTGGGGGAGCACACAATGTTTTTCCCTCTTGTTGTACCCAAAATTCAATTTTTTGGTCAATCTGTCTGAGAAACAAGGCTCACTCTTTCAAAATTGTAAATGTTTAATAAGGGATAAAAGGGACACTAAACAGCCTGCTGGGTGCTTGGCAACTGCCAGAGGCACACTGTTAACTAAAACAATTCTTCCTACATACCTTTCCATTGTATTGGTGAAATACATACTCAGGAGGGTTATACATATTCAAACATTTCTTCCAGATCACATGTTCCAGGAATCCTTTTGCTTGGTTTGACCCTTGATTCATTTTCATAAAGTACATGCCATACTGCAGATTAAATTTATATATTTCATGTTCTCACAAGGTCCCCCTGTTCTGTGGTTTGACAATTCTTGATAATGGAAGGTCAGTGGTAAATTCCTCTTTGCATTCTTTCTTTGGATGCTTATTTACTTGCTACTTTTCAATGTGTTCTTCTCATACAGATGAGATACCTCACCAGTACATTAAATCAACATTACCTATTTCACAAAATTTTCTGAGTTATTCTCACCATTATAACTTAGTTACACAACTAAAGGCATTAGCTACTTCTGCAACAGTTAATGTTGTAATATACAGTACATTGTCTCTATCTTGATCTTTTGTGGGAACCTAAACTATATTATTTATGACACTAAAATATATGTTCTACCCAGGGATTAAGGTAAAAGGGCTGAGAAATTGTGGAGTATCTAAAGCAGTTAAAAAGTGCATACAAACTGTATTGTATCAAAATATTTTGAAAAAAATCAATATAATAGAGAAAGCCAATAACTACATAGTTATTCTTAACAGAGGGAAGGTGTATTGAAGGGTTTATTTGACTTATCCTTATCTTGCTCTGATTTTGTCAGCAATAAATTCAATTCATATCTCTAAACCATAGGCAGTTTTACCCGTGGCAGGATTTGATAAGTGATCTCTCCTGGTCCTTGTCTCAACCCAGGAACCCTTTGCTCAATTTTCTCTCCCCATCCAGGTGTGGAGGGCAGTGAGAGAATGGCTGTGGTGGGTGCAGGGCATCCGGCCACTGTCCATCCACGGCAAGGCAGGGAGGAGGAGGAGGGTCCAGGTCAGGCTGTGGAGCAGAATGTTGTGGGATTTGCAGTAGTGCTGGGGCACCCTCAGTCCCTTGGGCAAAGGGACAAAATGCTGCATTTCTGGACTGGTTCCCACACAGCTGCCCCTACAGGGGGAGTTTCCAGCCAGCCTTGCTCTGAAAACCATCAAAGGCCCTCTCAGAGCCACTGCTTGGGCTCCCTTTGGGGTTTGTGCTTCTTGCAGGGCTGCGCAAACCACAGGCAGGCCTTTTTCCACCACAGAATTCTCACCTCTGTAGCAGCTCTAAAGCTGCCAGAAATCAAAGCCAAGGGGACAGGGGGGACCCTCAGGTGCTGGCTGCCACCTGGGGCTGGCCAGAGCAGGGCTGGGCAATGGCCATCCCTGTGCAGTGGGGCTGGGCCATGGCTGGGCCCCACCCTTGCATTGACAGGGGTCCCCAGGATGTGCCACCCCTGGGACAGGCACCCAGCCCGGAATGTGCAGGGACATTTCTAGGGCTGCCACCCCCGGGACCGGTCCCCTCATGCCAGGATGTGCCACTCCCCGGGAAAGGATCCT